TATGTACATGAGCTTTTCACTTTTCCCCACCCCCCTGGGAAGTTCCAGCTGTTCGAGGGCTGTTCTTTCTCTCTCCCTTGCTCGAAACCCAAATGTCTACGGTCGCTTGCCCGCTTTTTTCTTTACCCCTTTCACTTCATTCTATTTCCATTTCTGTGTACCCCAGATGGCCTTAAGTCTTCTGCGGCGTAGGATTCGCAGCGGGTTTCCCGGGCGCATCGTAAATGGGAATTTTTTTTTTTCGGCTAGTATTTTTACTTTCGGAAATTTTAAAGCCCTCCTTGCCCGCACAATCCGATTGCATCTAAAGCCCTGTGTAAAATTTGTGGTTGTCTCGACCTTCCCCTTTGTGCTTTAAGGCATACAAAAAATTTGGTACACCCTCCCCTTAGTCCCCCGTATCCAAATTTGGCTACGCGGGATCCCTTTTCCAAAACATAAAGTATTGTTTTTTTTTTGGGCCCCGGTCATGTTGAAGTTTCAGGGCAATGAAAGGGGACATGCTGGCGGGTCAGCAGTACATTTTCCCACCAGTTTCATGTAGGGGGTATTCCCTTTACGGACTAAATTTTTCTGCAAAATCTTCCCAACTTCACACCCGTTTTGGGAACAAAAATTGGGGTTTCTATGTCGGGAACAAAAATTCCAAACTATTAAAAACCCAGGTATAGGTTTTTGGGCCCTCTTTTATCAAACCCCGGGGTCGAGGTTGGGGAAAACTACTTTCTCCCGTCTTTTGCAAAGGGCCTTTTCTCTCTTACTCGGATATTCATGGAGAGGCGCCCTGCCCCCCTTGTGAGAATTGCCCAAGGGCCCTTATCAGTCAGCCACATTTTTGTTGGGGCTGGGCCCACCCTTTATCAACGAGCAGGGAGAAAATTTTCCCCCGTGTCGTCTTCGCCCTTTCTGCTCTCTCTTTTCCTTCCCTTCTCGCTGATGGACCCACCTTTTTATCCAAATCTTTTATTGGGGGCCCTTTTTTAAAAAAAACTGACTGACTTCCCCCAAATTTTGTTTCCTTTAGCCCCCTTTTTACCCCAATCTCTTGCTACCCTTACCCCCGTACTATCCCCCGCCCCGCTGTTTTCTGTAACCTTACTGATTCCCTCCCCCCTTTGCCATCCCAAAACCCCTTTTTCCTTCCCTACCCTGCGCGCTGTATAGCCCCTTTTGGCTTAGCGCTTCTTTTTGATTATAATTTAAAAATCTGGATTTAGGGGAAATTTGGGTCTGTCTCCAGTTCCCCCAATTTTGCCTGAATCCTTCCCCATCCCCCCCCCAGGCGCTGTTTAAAACCCCCCGGGTTTAGCTTTCCCCTTTATTATAAAAATAAAATCTAGCTTAAGGAAAAGAAAAAGTTCTTGACTTTGAACAGGTTCATTCAGCCCTTTAAAGCAAAATTTTCATTTGGGAAAAAAATTTCTGTGGAAAACTTAAAAAATATGAAGAAACAGAATTTAATTTGGGGCCCCTCGCCAGGGCGCCACCCCCAAATGATAAGCACTTTGGGTCTTATTTAAATGCCTCTTCTACGAAAATTCTTACTTGAGCTAATTATAAAAGGGTAGGTGCACATATTTCCTAGACCTTTTGTGGGTGCTTTTTTTCCCCGCCCCCCAGGGTGCTTGTGGAGTGCAGTTGATTAAGGGAAAGTTTGGGCAAACCCCCTAGCCAGATTGAGTCCTGGAAATGGGAAGTACAATGCCTGCACTTTAAAGGAGTGGTTTGGGATATTGGCAGTTTGGAGGGATATGTGTGTATCTTTATATGTATATGCTTCTAGACTGTTGCATTCTGAGCACCTCTGCAAAAACAGTGATAATGTGCAAGTGTGGTGAAAGTGTTGAATGATGAAAGTATTTTCTTTTTGGGGATTTTCTTTCTTTTTTGGGTCACCCTGCCTCGGTGGGAGACGGCCGACTTGTTGAAAAAAAAAAAAAAAAAGCTAAGCTGTTGTATCCTGAGCACCTCTGCAAAAACAGTGATTGTGTGAGGGAGGTGAGTGTTGAATGATGAAAGTATTTTCTTTTTGGGTCACCCTGCTTCGGTGGGAGACGGCCAACTTGTTAAAAAAAATAAGGTAATTATTGTAGTCTAGATTTGTCAAATTATGCTTTGTAACCTTTCCAGGTGAATGTGGAAAGAAAGTGATGTTACTTTGGTAAATACACTTAGGCATTTTTGACAAACCTGTGTGGGACTTTCATGGGGGTGCACTAATCATTTGTTCATTGCAGAGCTTATTATCCTGTTCTGCCCTAATGCCTGCCATGGTCAGCTCTGGTTCAGAAGATAAGGTGTTAGCCATCATGCAAGTTCTGCATGGGAATATTAATTTGCCGTTTCCTGGAGCTTTGTATCCCAGGTAGCAGATGACAGGTGAATGAATGATGTTTGGTATTTTCTAATTTTTTTTGTGCATTGTTTAAATTGCACAGTTGGTTATACAGATGAACATTTTTAAATAAAGAAAGTGCCACTTTATTGTTTTAATTAACCTGCTATTTTTATATAAACTTGCTCACTTGTAATTGGCTGGTTGTCCCAGAAATGGTAAGAGGGGTTGAAAAGGTTTAGTCGATGAGCTGTTAGTGAGCGTTATAACTGGAAATTCAAGGAAACTGATACCCTGAAGGTGTTGATGGAAATGTTGCAGGAGGAAGTATGGTCTTTGAGGCAAGGGAAAGTCATTTGAGGAAATTCTTGGGTTGGCTCCAAACTCTTAAGCATTAGTCTCGGGAAAAATTCCGATTTTAGTACGCTTTGCAACTTTATAACTATTTTATAGATTCTGAAGATTGACACAACCCTTTATTTTAATTGGTAATTTCCCGCTAATTATGAAGTATAATTCACACTTAACGTGTATACACTTAAAGTTGTAACCACAAGCATAATGCATACATGCTCTGTAAAATTCAACGGGTTGAGCGCTTCCCTACGATTATAATGCATACATGCACAAAGATCGCATATAATGTGGTAAAGACTTGCACATACATTACGAATACACTGTTGAGATAGGGGAAGGCTTGTACAGTACGAAGGTAGTTAGGGTTGGTTGCCTTTGTATATTGGGATAAATTTTTGGGATCACAGCATCTTTCTTGGAATTTTCATGGGGAGAGGGGTAACCAGGTTTGATCAGAGGACAGCGTAGCCGCTTCTCGTATGAGCAGCACTTGAACGCAATGAAGACTCCCTTGAAGGGTTTAAAATTTATCAAATATTGGAAGTGGCAGAGGCTGTCATTTTTACTGCTGAACTGTGTGCCATTCTTGCAGCACTTATTCGTATCGCATCTATGCCTGTCATCACTTGTGGTAGTCTCAGACTCCCTTAGTGCTCTACAGGCTATACGAAAATTTGATACATCTCACCCCCCCCCCCCCTAGTTCTCCGTATCCAACTTCGGCTACGCCGTATCTCTACGAAGCATAGATATTTTTTGTTGGGTCCCTGGTCATGTCGACGTACAGGGCAATGCACAGGCACACTGCTGCGCGGTCAGCAGTGCATGACCTACCAATTTCCTAGAGGTGTTCCATTTCTGGACTATTTTGCTAAAATAGCTGCCCACCTTCGCGCCCGTTGGCAACAACGTTGGTCAACTGTGCTTGGTAACAAACTTCATTCTATTAAACCGAGCATAGGTTACTGGCCGTCTTGTCATCAGTGCCGTGGTTGGGAGACCATTCTCCCGTCTTCGCATTGGCCACACTAGTCTTACTCACGGGTATCTCATGGAGAGGCACCCTGTACCTCTGAGCAGTGTCAAGTTCCAGTATCGATTAGCCACATTGTTAGACTACCCTCTCTATCAACGAGTACGCAGAATGTACCTCCAACACCGTCTTCGTTCTACTACTCTCTCTTTACCTTCCCTTCTTGCTGATGGACCCTCCTTTAATCCTGACTCTCTCATTGACTTCTTGACAACGACTGATTTACTCCACAAACTCAGATGATACCTTACGCACTCCCCTCGGCCCTTTCTAGCTCAGTCTCTTGCTGCCCTTTACCCTTTCACCATCCACTGCTCCGCTGTTATCCGTAACCTATTACTCGTCCACCTCCCTTTTGCCACCTGATGCCCTCGCTTCCTTCCTGCCCTGCAGCGCTGTATAGCCCTTGTGGCTTAGCGCTTCTTTTTGATTATAATAATGTCCTTAATACATTGCATAACTAAGGGGCTCAACCCCTCGAGTGATGTGCATTGGTGCTCTTGATCCAGGTAAATAGACCTGTCCTTAGATCAAACCTGATAGCCTCCCATTCCTCTGTATAACCGCTATAGGTTTAGTTCGGCGCTCTATGGCCTTTGTAGGTTTAGCACTTTTATTAATTATAATGTTTAGTTTCCTCCTGATTACGATAGTAACTAGGGGGCTTAATTAACCCTACAATTTATCAGTTTTGCGGAAACTAAATTCATTGCTGCAGCATACGTTCCTTGATGCTGGTGGGAATTTAACTTGTCCTTCCCTTGGAACAAACCTAGCAATTGTGCATAGATGTCTTTGACTACCGTCCACAGTATGGATATAGGGTGCAAAATGAGGACAATAACTCACTCCTTAATGGTTGTATGATCTCTCCGCGCTGTATGACCACACCCCTCAAGGAAAGTTCCTTTATGTTGGTGAGGGGCTCTTGATTTAGGGAATTGGATCTGTGTTCCAGTTCCCTGAATGCCTTCCACATTCCCCCCTAGGCGCTGTATAATCCTCCGGGTTTAGCGCTTCCCCCTTGATTATAATGTATGACCACAGTAGGTAAAGCGCTAGGTTTTTATTATAATAGCATGATCTCGACGGGTTTAGTGGTTACTCTTAAAACTGATGACTAACAAAGCTGCTTTTGCACCAAAATGTGCCATGCCTGACGTATGATAATACTAAAAGACTTGCTTATTCTTATCCTCGCCTTTTTATATAATGTCACAATATAATAATTCTTGGTTGTTTCAATATAGAGGAGTGTGTAAGATGTTTGGAGTATTCAGTTGATGTGTGTTGTACGAGAGTGCGGGGTGGGTGCCCACTGCTGACTGGCTGGGCCAGGCTGCCCAGTGTGGACACAGTAACCATAGTCATGGCGAGGACTGTGGTCTATGCTGTTTCGGCCGCCCTACTAGTAGCTGTGGCTGCATCCCAGAGCATCGTCACATGTGGAGAATGTGATAGGTAAGACTTAGAGAATACTTGTAGATACCTTGTGGCGTACCCTTCAAGGGAAGCTCCTTGATGCGGCTGAGAGGCTCTTGCTCAGAGATTGGATCTCCCCTTCCCTGACTAGGATTGAACCTGAATGCTTTCCATACCCCTAAGGGTCTGTATGACAATACGTGATGAAATTCTTTTGAATTTCCTCGTGGAGCAGGGATAATGCTCGGCTCGCATCTCGGAGGACTTATTTATTTCTAACGCCACCTTCCTCTACCTATTAGTAAATAGATACCTAATAGATTATAGACCATACCACAGGTAGGGATAGAACCCGCGATCAGTGTCAAAACTCCAGACCGTCGCGTTAGCCACTGGACCAGCTAGGTCCAGTGGCTAACGCGACGGTCTTATGACCAGAGCTTTGGTAAGATGGGTAAGGAAGAAGGATGGGTAAGGATAGAAATATTGGAAAAAGGTGGGATGGGGGAGAGAGGTAGGATATAAAAGGTAAGTGGCCCAACCACTTCGGTGTAATTTAAAAAGTATGTGAAATAATAAGATATTCTTGAAGAGGTATAATACTAACCCATCAGTCACATATATATAACAGATACACAAGTACTGCCTGAATTAAAAAAGTATTAGTCAGGGGGCAGAAGAGGGGTTGTTGAGGTGGTTTGGTCATTTAGAGAAAAATGGATCAAAGTAGAATGACATGGAAAGCATATAAATCTATAGGGGAAGGAAGGCGGGTAGGGGTGTCTCGAAAGGGTTGGGGGAGGGGGGGGGTAAAGGAGGTTTTGTGGGCAAGGGGCTTGGACTTCCAGCAAGTGTGTGTGAGCGTGTTAGACAGGAGTGAATGGAGACGAATGGTACTTGGGACCTGACGATCTGTTGGAGTGTGAGCAGGGTAATATTTAGAAGGGATTCAGGGAAACCGGTTATTTTCATATAGTCGGACTTGAGTCCTGGAAATGGGAAGTACAATGCCTGCACTTTAAAGGAGGGGTTTGGGATATTGGCAGTTTGGAGGGATATGTTGTGTATCTTTATACGTATATGCTTCTAAACCGTTGTATTCTGAGCACCTCTGCAAAAACAGTGATTATGTGTGAGTGTGGTGAAAGTGTTGAATGATGATGAAAGCATTTTCTTTTTGGGGATTTTCTTTCTTTTTTGGGTCACTCTGCCTCGGTGGGAGACGGCCGACTTGTTGAAAAAATAAAAAAAAATGTAAGTGAATATGCTTCACAAGATATTTATCATTATATAGGGTACAGGTGAAGCCACATGCGAGTGTGAGGACTCTGGGGCAGTATGTGGCAGTGATGGAGTCACTTATACCACCCTGTGTCACTTGCTAATGGAAACTGCAGAGAGGCCTGATCTCAGCGTTGCTGTCAGAGGGCCTTGCAAAACAGGTAAGCAAAATAAAATACCTAGGTAGAAGCAAAATAATGAGTCTGTTAGAAGAATAACAGTGTATTAATTTACAGGCATTACATACTCATTGTATATCCAGTACATTGCATAGAAAGCATTTGTATCATTGTTACATTACTCTATTATAGAAATTTCAACTTTGTTGTTGCAGCCCAAACTATCCAAGACATGCTGTGCACTTTTTTTTTATAATTGATCTGCAGTACAGTTCTTAAATACTCTCACTTTTATCAATCCTTAGCATATGTAGTTATGACTTCCAAGAATTGTTGCATATTTGCATTTGTAGTTTTTTCTTAGGAATGGCGATGTTTCATTAACTTTTACAAATAGTAATGCTCTAAACTTATATGCAGCCCCTGTGATTAAATCCAAGCCAGAAGATAAGATAAGACCACTTGGAAGCATTCTGGTGTTGGATTGTGAGGCTGTCGGTTACCCTGTGCCTGACATTACATGGGAACTGAACCGCCCAGATGGATCATCGTTCAAATTGCCTGGTATCTACTCAAACACTTGATATTGATAAGTTAATTAGCTTTACATTTAGGGAATAAGTGTAATGCAAATTAGTGCATATATAATCTCCTGTAGTACATGCAAATTGTAAATTATTATTAAATTCATGTATAAGTGCACAACCCATTGGTATCAAGCAGCACATGGGCGAATGGGCAGCAACCAGGGTTGATCCAAGTAGAGGATAGGTCCAATTAGTTGGATCAAGATACCTACCTCCCTGGAGGGGACTGAAACTGTAGAGCTACATATCTTTAGGAGGAGGTTGGTAGACATCAGTTTTCCAGGGAAGTACATACTGTAATTTGAACAGCTGGTTGGGATGTAAAATAATTTGATAGATGATAATTGAACTATGATGCCTGTACATTTCTGTAAATACTGCTAAGTGGAGAGGAAGCCAGAGCTTGAATGTTTTATATCTTGCTCTAGGGATCAGCATTCTAAATAACAAGGTACAGATTATTTCTAAATAATGAGGTACAGATTTCTTCTAAACAACGAGGTACAATTATTTCTAAATAATGAGGTACAGATTTCTTCTAAATAACAAGGTACAGATTTCCCCTCAGTTACGGGCTTTGCTTTGTAATGTCCCATTTCTCTCAGTAATTCAGTATGGATGATTATTTACAAGAAATATTGCACAAATTGCATACACAATGTTTGCAATATTTCTTGTAAATAGTAATCAGTTCTAATTTGAATGGTAGTATGAAACTAGGCTGCATGTTTTGAATCTACAATTGCCTGTAGTGTAAGGCTGTATCATTGAATGCAAAATATAAGGAATATAAGTTCTCACTGCTTTAGGTGTTGAATGACCTCCATGTGAGCTGGTGCTTGCCAAGAATATAATTATTATTATAATCAAAAAGAAGCGCTAAGCCAAGGACTATACAGCCAAGAATATAAACATAGCAATAATAATAAACTGTTTTATGCCCTACTTACAGTTTATGTACTTCCAGGTGATGACTCTTCATTTGCTGTTCAAGTTCGTGGTGGTCCTGAACCTTACATGATTACTGGGTGGGTTCAGATCATGCGTGTTACAAATGAAAATCTCGGTATCTACAATTGTGTGGCTACCAATTCTGAGGGAGAGGCTCGTGCTTCTGTTTCTCTCGCTACAGAGAAACTTGGTAAGTTCACATGCATTACAGGGACCTGAAAAACTGGATCTCTGTTGTGATGCATCCAAATTCTCTTTTAGGTGGGGTGATAAACCATAAAAAAGAAAAATCTTTTTTTGAAATATGAATCGTACATGAATGGTATACAATACTGACAAGATAAAAATTAGACACTTGCAACATCTGGGTATCTTTATTGTAGACATTTCACCATCCAGTGGCACTATCAATACAAATTGATGGACATAATTGAAGAAAGTAGGACCATGCATATACAAAAGATGAGGTGATCAGTCCCTCAGCCTCAGAGTTGAAGACCACTGTAGTCATGAAGATTCTGCTAGCTCAATTGCTAGCACACTCAGCTCACATAATGAAGTCCAGTGGTCGAATCCCTGGTACAGTTAATGATATCTTTATTGCTACAAGTACAAGGTAAACAGGTCTAGTTGACATCAATGACATACTACTATACAGAAAGCCACTTGTTATGCAGATTATTATAATAAAAAATTGTTATGCAGAGCATTTCAGGCAAATTAGGTCAGTTTTGTCCCAGGATGTAACCCACACCAGTTGACTAACACTCAGGTACCCATTTTACTGATGGGGAACAGACAACCGGTGTAAGGAAACACGCCCAATGTTTCTACCATCACCGGGAATCAAACCCGGACCCTCACTGTGTGAAGTAAGAGCTTTAGCCACCAGGCCATGGGGCCTCGTGGCTACACTTTTCCATTAGACACCTTTTATCCATGTTCACCCGTAAGTCAAATACATAGGTACCTGGGTGTTAGTCGACTGGTGTGCGTCACATCCTGGGACAAAACTGATATAAATTAAATCTTCCTTCAGGAAGATTGAATTTATATCACACTAGTTAGCTTAGGTTTTGCATTTTATGAGAACAGATATTTCTTTTCCACTATCATTTAACATGGTTTTATTAGTAATCCTACCTGTGTTATTTTAGTGTATTGTTTCTAATTTCAGATGAAAAAGCGAGTTCCATTAAAAAGCTGTAATCATCTAACAAGTGATGAGACAGGCACAATGTCAGCTGTAACCACTGCCATAGCATATAATTTTTTTTTTCCTACATTTAAGAAAATATTTTATAATAAATCTCGAATTTTTGTATCTTATGAATAGTATTCACAATAATGTATTCCTCTAAAGCAACCATGCCATAATAGCAACAAAAAAAATTTGTATGTCTCTACATTTGATAATTACTATTAAGATGCACCTTGTTAGAAATATTTAGTGTTGTAATGCATAACTGGTCAAGTCACTAGGCTAAGATTTACTATTTACACTGGTATCATTATTTTTAGTAAAACCGTAGGTTATATTTTGTTTAAATGTTCAATAAAGTCTAAGAATTTGGCATTTTTTTTTTCTATATGCCATCCATCTGCTAATGTGTTTATTAATTTTAAGCAAGAATAATGCGCTAATGGGTTCACTCAAATGTCAGTAATAAGATATAGTCAAGGCTTTGAGTAAGATGGCTACAAAAGCTCTCTCTCTCTCTCATTGAAACATTTGCCTGCTCTGCACATTTATTCAATCAATATAGTGGTGATAAATACTGGAAACAGCAATGGAGTGGTAAATAGGTGGTGCTCAGTCTCGATGCCTTGAATAAGTAATTTAGAGATGGCCAATCCCTCAGATTTATTAAGTTTCTAGCTCCATAGTCTCAATCCACGTGAAGCAACTGAGGCACGAGGATGACCTAATATGCTATCTCCAGGAATAATTAAGGGAAACGTGGAGCAAAGACAAGAGCAGACCACTATTCTGTTAAGTGACTTTGTAAATGATCCAAGTCGGACCGAAACGTCATCGTAAGCTCCTCTCTATCTCCTGTGTGGGTTATTTGTGTACTATTCAGCCATCATAATATAATCATTAAGCACTAAAACCAAAATGATCAACACTGGCCCTAGTTTTACACCTACCAAAGCTGTCTGTTGCCCACTAAAGGGCTGCAGCTCCAAGAACAGACAACTTTCAGGCAAGCAGCAACAAGTATTCCTGTACATGCATCTTCATGTACAGTAAACTCAGACTGGGTAGAGTGGTCCCTTGCAGGAACCAGCCAACCTAGTGAGGACTATCTCCATCGTCAAGTTAATTCCCCCCACCACCACAAAAATACTATCTTTAGGAAGTAACTGGTATTATTCTGGTTACTACATATTTTTAATGCACTGTCTCACTGAGGTAGAGCTACACCACTTTCCTGAAAAAAAAAAAAAAACTTTCAAATACATGTACTTTTCTTGCTAGAAGTGTGGAAACAATTCAGATGTCCCCCCCCCCCATGACAGACACTATTTCCCCACCTCCAGTACATGCTAACTGGGTTTCCCTTGAATCCCCTCATTAACGTTACTTTCACTCCAACAGAACGTAAAGCCATAAAAATCACATCTCCAATCACTTGAATCTAACATTCTCACACAAGTCTGCTAGATGCTAAGTACCCAGTACTCAAAAACCACTTTTGCGCCTTTCTAACCCTTCCTGGGACTACCACTATCCCTTAATCCTTCTACGTACTTTTGATTTACACACACTACCATCCTATTCAGTTCCACCCTCTACATGGTCAAACCACCCACCTCTCCTCTTCAAAATGTCCCGCTATATAGCCCTTGTGGCTTAGCGCTTTTTTGATAATAATAATAATTCAAAATGTCCCAACCATATGGGTTAAAGCACTGCAAGGCTGAGGAAGTTATCAGCAAAGAGAAGTATAGCAGTTGAAAGGATACACCTATGAGCTAGCAGTCATTGTGAGCATTACAAATCATTTCAGTCATAAAAGTCAGTGTTGACATTGAAAGTAGAGCTTTCCAAAAGGACCTTCAAAGATGTACTTTTTCAACCCCTCCTTATATCACTTTTGGATTCTCTCGCAGATCCCTTGTATATGCTCATTTTGGTGTCCACCCTGCCCATGTGCCTTATCAGTCCTCCTCACCACACCATGATCGCTTTAGCTACTGGGCTAAGCCCTGGTACTATCCCTTCCACTCGTCAACCTGCTCTTCCACTATCCCCACTTCCCCGCTCACTCCACAAGGGTCTTACCTACACTCTCTTGATCTTGAGGAGCACAGGGCCCAAGCATTGAAAAATGACCAGAAATAAATTCAAGTCTTGTGATCGTTGAAGATGTTTGACAATCAGGAACACCTGACTAAGTTTCACAGGCACCTCAATGTGAATTTATAGGAAGATGCAGTAAACCCATAGGGGTCATACAGTGCCTGGAGGATGGGAAGCAATCAGGTTTGATCCAAGGAAGGAGAGAAAGATCAATGCTTTGAATCAAGAGTCCATCAGCATTAAGGAACCTCCATTGACAGTGGTCCATGTGAAATATCCTGGTTAACTACTGACAGAACTGTTTCTTAACATGTTAAACTTGACAGAGCCCTATATTCAAATTAATATGATAAGGAACCCTAATATCATGCATTATTAACCCTGAAATAATAATATAATCACACTAAGTACTAAACCTGGAATTACTACTATAATCAAAGAAAGCGCCAAACCAACAGGGGTCATGCAGCGCTGTGGGGTAGAAAATAGAGCTGGGGCTATGAACAGCTAGGTTGAGAGGGGATCAGTAGTGAGGGGAGAAAAGGGCCAGTGTGTCGAAGTTCATACAATAAAGCAGTTTCTGACCAAAAGTCAAAAAGTGATCGTAAATCAAAGGTAGGGCCATCTGCAAGAATGGAAGATAAGACAAGAGTGGTAGGGCGGTAGCGTCGTTGGAGGTAAATCCTACGAGCTTGCTGGTAAACCAGGCAATCCACAATTAAGAGAAAAACTGAAATAGGGACCTGACAAACCTCACTGAGAGGAATAGTGTGTTGTTCCATGAGATACCCATGGGTAAGGCGGGTATAGCCAATGCAGAGACGGGAGAGCGCAGTCTCCCGAGTACGGCAATGGTGGTAAGAAGATTGCCACAAACCTAAAAGCGGTTTAATAGCGTGCAATTTGTTATGGTGCATGTCTGACCACCGTTGTTGCCAACGGCCATGAAGACGTGCAGAGATAAACCTGGAATAAGAATGTATTACTGGGATTTAAAATATAAAAGGTTTTAACACTTGGAAATAAAAATAAAAATCCAATCCAAATGGTTTATTTGTAACTCCCTCCATAAATACCAAACTTCCTCTCAAAATGATCAGATTTTATCACACTTTAATAGACAATGTCTTATGTTTGCGATGGTCAACATGGCAACTACAGTTATTTTAAACAAGAGCTCCCTACCAAGACCAGTGGTGGGTTAGTTAACACATGAAGCAAGGTAGCTACCAACCATTTGGTTATCACCAAACTGTCTGAAGCAGCAGAAATTTAGAAAATCAGGGAATACTACTTTCAGATTTACAGATTTTGTACAAAAATAATGATTCATACCATTGAGCCAACTACTTAGTCAATATATATTTATTTCTACTACATCAGACATTCTCAATTGCCTTGTAGCACCCATACAATAATCAGCACTTGACTGAGTAGGTGAGTGACTCATTACAAGCAACTTCTGTTGTAGTTGAATACAAAACAATAGGAAGAACATGCTTTAATGTGAACAATTGATAACCCTTTGCATAAATGCTACCTACTTCAAACCTAGTTTTCTTACTCAGGCACACCACTTCGTAGTAGTAGTATTGTAGTAGTCATAGTAGTAGTAGTATTAATATAATAATAATAATAATAATAATATTATTCAATGGCCTTGTCATGGGGATAATCTTAGTTTTTTAACCCACAAAACCAAGATATTCTATAACCCAGTGACACTTTCCTAAAGTTTGCACTAATTTTATAATAAAGTATATAGTTACTAAATACATATCAGTTATGAGCATTTATGTAAGAATAGGAAACTTATGATAGTCTGAGGCAGTTATTTATCAGAAGTTAAGCTCATACAAATATTGGTTATTTTTTTTTTAATTCATCAACACTTACAAATCCATTACTAGTAAATAGGATGAGATGCATTAAGCTTGAGAAAGGCAAAGAGATAAAAAGAGTGAATCCTAAGAGAACTTTAATACCAAGTTGTTGATCATTTTTTTTATGAATAATGAATAAGAATTCAGGGATGACTGGAATCAGATGATATTTGTGTTCATGGTCTTCATAGAAATTAACATGAAAAGTTTGTGAAAAATGAAAGGACACACTACCTAAATGGGGGGGGGGGGAGGTGGAACCATGAGGTTCTGAAGTGGTGCAGGTAGGATGCCGATTCAGAAAAACGGATAGGGCAAGTGGGAACACAACAGTTTTGTGGTACAGGCACATAATGACCAACAGTCTATGCCTTTAAACCCAAATTGATTGATTGAATAGGTTTGTAGTGGTGATGGAAAAGGAGGTTGTGCGAGTAATGTATTCTGCCGCACAATGCTACTTCTCCACCCATGCTACCTGGCAGCCATTTCTTGTGCTTAGGTTGCTTAAGTTCCCCCAAGGAGTTCAGCCCCAAAGCTGCATGAAGCTTCATTCATTCACCAAGAAATACAAACTTTGGCATCTTCCCTCATTCACTACTGGAACATACCATGTACTGTAATAATAAACACACACATTCCTGTAGTTTGAACAATGGCAAATTCTCATCCAAATAGCTTCAGAGGCAATTAACTCCACAAAATTCTACTGACCAATAAAGGCAATCTTGCACATGTTATGCCTGGGGCTCCTCCAAGGTTTACTGTGGATGTGTCCTACCCTACAGAACAATACATCTCCTTCCTTTCTGGGGTTCTGGAGGCTCTAAGGCTGCAAGAATTGCTTCATCAAATACATTCTTGAGTCCTTTCTGTGTAAGTGCTGAACATTCTACATACTTTACAGCCTTAAGCTCACGGCTCAGCTTATCACCTTGCTCATAGGTGATGGGCTTCTGTTTATTCTTGGCCAGCTTTTCAACTGTAGCAGCATCATCTCTCAAGTCAATCTGTGTGCCCACTAAAAGGAATGGAGTTTTCTGGCAGTGATGAGTGATCTCAGGCACCCACTGAAAAAAATATTTATGCATTAGTTAATTATCACTGATTTATTTATTATGAATTTACTTTTCTTGGTACAATAATTTATATTCCTTCACTTGTTCTATTCATAAAGCAGATTCCTTAGCATAGTCTCACAGATTATAAAGTTCTTTTTGAAGCTATGGTAGCCAATAATTAAGGCATAAATTATTCCTGCTTATAGCAACATTAATGTCTAAATCAGAGTTGATCAGAATATTATGGATGCAGGTAAAGTAAATGAAAAGAACATGTTCAAAATTATCGTACACTTTTTTCTTTTAACACTCCAGGCATCTCCCACAGAGGCAAGGTGACCCGGCAAATAAGAAAACATTTCACTCTCACTGAATCACTATCTTGCCAGAAGGGTGCCAACATCACAGTTCAGATGACCCTCCAAACCTGACATCCCCACCCCTCTTCGAGAGTGCAGGCACTATTATATTCACTGGGTCATACAGGACTGGGGAATGGGGAGATAATCAGGCTTGATCCAAGGAAGATGGTCCCTCCAATTCCTTGGATGAAGTACTCTTCACCATTATCAAGGCATCCATTTTGAAGGGACTATGGAGGGAGAGAGTATGGAGGAGGTGAATGTATTCAGATATTTGGGAGTGGACGTGTCAGCGGATGGGTCTATGAGAGATGAGGTGAATCATAGAATTGATGAGGGGAAAAGAGTGAGTGGTGCACTTAGGAGTCTGTGGAGACAAAGAACTTTGTCCTTGGAGGCAAAGAGGGGAATGTATGAGAGTATAGTTTTACCAACGCTCTTATATGGGTGTGAAGCATGGGTGATGAATGTTGCAGCGAGGAGAAGGCTGGAGGCAGTGGAGATGTCATGTCTGAGGGCAATGTGTGGTGTGAATATAATGCAGAGAATTCGTAGTTTGGAAGTTAGGAGGAGGTGCGGGATTACCAAAACTGTTGTCCAGAGGGCTGAGGAAGGGTTGTTGAGGTGGTTCGGACATGTAGAGAGAATGGAGCGAAACAGAATGACTTCAAGAGTGTATCAGTCTGTAGTGGAAGGAAGGCGGGGTAGGGGTCGGCCTAGGAAAGGTTGGAGAGAGGGGGTAAAGGAGGTTTTGTGTGCGAGGGGCTTGGACTTCCAGCAGGCATGCGTGAGCGTGTTTGATAGGAGTGAATGGAGACAAATGGTTTTTAATACTTGACGTGCTGTTGGAGTGTGAGCAAAGTAACATTTATGAAGGGGTTCAGGGAAACCGGCAGGCCGGACTTGAGTCCTGGAGATGGGAAGTACAGTGCCTGCACTCTGAAGGAGGGGTGTTAATGTTGCAGTTTAAAAACTGTAGTGTAAAGCACCCTTCTGGCAAGACAGTGATGGAGTGAATGATGGTGAAAGTTTTTCTTTTTCGGGCCATCCTGCCTTGGTGGGAATCGGCCAGTGTGATAATAAAAAATAAAAAAATATGTAAAAAAAAAAAAAAAAAAAAAAAAAAAAAAAAAAAAAAAAAAGTACACATACATTAGAAAAAAACTTTGTTCATGTTTAAGAGTGCAAATGGCTCAATCATATAACTGGGAGAAACTCAACTCATATTTGTACTGAAAAGTCTGTATTATGATTTGACAGGCTTGGATCACCTACCCATAATAAAAAATATAATTACAGTAGGGCCCCGCTTTACGGCGTTTCGTTTTACAGCGTTCCGCTAATATGGTCATTTCAAATTATGACCAAAACTCGCTATACGGCTCCCCCCACCTGACTTTCTAATACGGTCACAGCGCCCCACCCGGTTTGTTTACATTCTCTGTGAGATCCGTAAGCACTAAGTCTCAACATTATGTCTGGAAACTCCAAAATTTTAAGTGTTTTTAAAAGTTATTTCATATTTTATATATATTTTTTTTTTCAACAAGTCGGCCGTCTCCCACCGAGGCAGGGTGACCCAAAAAAGAAAAAATCCCCAAAAAGAAAATACTTTCATCATCATTCAACACTTTCACCACACTCGCACATTATCACTGTTTTTGCAGAGGTGCTCAGAATACAACAGTTTAGAAGCATACACATATAAAGATACACAACATATCCCTCCAAACTGCCAATATCCCAAACCCCTCCTTTAAAGTGCAGGCACTGTACTTACCATTTCCAGGACTCAAGTCCGACTATATGAAAATAACCGGTTTCCCTGAATCCCTTCACTAAATATTACCCTGCTCACACTCCAACAGATCGTCAGGGTCCCAAGTACCATTCGTCTCCATTCACTCCTATCTAACACGCTCACGCACGCTTGTTGGAAGTCCAAGCCCCTTACCCACAAAACCTCCTTTACCCCCTCTCTCCAACCCTTTCGAGGACGACCCCTACCCCACCTTCCTTCCCCTATAGATTTATATGCTTTCCATGTCATTCTACTTTGATCCATTCTCTCTAAATGACCAAACCACCTCAACAACCCCTCTTCTGCCCTCTGACTAATACTTTTATAAATTACTCGTAGAAATAAGGCATCATATAATAGCAAATTTATACGAGGCTAACCTGCATAAAACGAGACAAACCTATATAATGTAAATGTAACCATAACACAGTAAAAAAGCAGTAGGTTACTGGCTATGTTACATCTATACGGTGGTGTAATAATGTTGGTAGAATTACCGACTTAAAAGGACACGCATGCAACTAATGTGACATTTTATTGATAATGTTTTGCTTTCCAGGAGCTTTGCCAAGCTCCTGGAGAGTGAAACAAACACTGCCACAATAAAATGTCACATTAGCTACACGTGTTCTTTTACCTATTACATTTATAAATGGATATGGCATGCAAGTTAAAATACTGTATGGCATTTTGAAGCAAATTATGATTATTTTATCATGTTGGGCCCACATGTGTTAGCAATTTAAAAAATGTACTGAAATATTAAATCAAAATTTTTAACCCAGCCATAAAAATAAAATTCTTCTGCAATGCTAGCAACAATTTTTTTTCACCAAAGATTATAACTAACCTTTTCCTTGACATTCTCAAACGATGATGGAGACACCACTGAAAAACAGACTAGAAACACGTCTGTCTGAGGATAACTAAGGGGTCGCAGTCTATCATAATCCTCTTGCCCTGAAATGCAAAAACAAGACCACTGAAAAACAGAAATGCAAGTTTTTTCCATCTTCTTTAAAAAATAAATGTTAAAATGCAAATCACTGGAATTAATTTGCAAACTTCCTTAGCCTTTTAACCCATAATACTCGTTAGTCTTAGGCATTAAGCTCCTAGCAAGTGCTTAGCTGCTTAAGAGTACCATGGCTGCAAAAATTCCATATCCCAGTCAGAATATGACACAGGGATAGGAAAAACAAAAATAGGACAGTGTAAGATTAAGAACATAAATCAGGAACATTGCTGAAGGCATACTAGCCCATGCTAGATAGGTTATTTACTCTTACCTAACCATTCCCATATACAGCTAAACAAACTTTTAATGCTATCCAAGACATTAGTTTCAATGTAGTTACTCGACAACTTGTTTCCCTCAACTCCCAACTACTGCCAAACAAGACTCTTCCTGTTCTTCAAGATTCTCCTTTGTATGGACTGATGAAGCCACTGTGTGGCGAAACGTTTCCTCAATATAGATACCCAAGAGTTGCACATGTGTCTAATTTATTAACATGTCGGTTCTCTGAACCATTCATCTACAAGACTCTTACTATTGTGTATCATTACTAAATCTGCATTTAACAAAGCCATTGTTTCAACTTCATTCTTCGTTAGATATATCAACCAATTCATAATCTCTGTCTTCCACCTGTATAACTATATCACCTCCCATCCCCCTTTATTCTATGCTTTTTAATGAGTAGATTTGGGGCTTTTGTATCATTGTTTTAATTTTTTTTTTGGCCCCAGCCATGTCCTACCAACGTAGGGTGACGAATTATTTTTTTACCAAATTCCAAATATAAAAGCATAATTTTGATATTACTTATGTTTTCAATGCATCCCAAGATGAAAAAGCAGTAAGCAAGAAGAGGGCATCCCAAGATGAAAAAGCAGTAAGCAAGTAGAGGGGCAGAGAGAAGAGGTGGGGAGAATGAAAAAGAAAAAGAAGTATTTACATGTTACGCATGTTAATGCATTAGCTTGCAGTATCTACAAAGAAATTCATTCCCTATCTGTCTTCACTGTAACTTAAGACAACTGGTCATGGATACTGCACGTTCCTAATGTGTGTCATTTGTGAACTACAAAATATTTTATGCAAGCCATATTTATTTTTTTTTTTTATTATCACACCGGCCGATTCCCACCAAGGCAGGGTGGCCCGAAAAAGAAAAACTTTCACCATCATTCACTCCATCACTGTCTTGCCAGAAGGGTGCTTTACACTACAGTTTTTAAACTGCAACATTAACACCCCTCCTTCAGAGTGCAGGCACTGTACTTCCCATCTCCAGGACTCAAGTCCGGCCTGCCGGTTTCCCTGAATCCCTTCATAAATGTTACTTTGCTCACACTCCAACAGCACGTCAAGTATTAAAAACCATTTGTCTCCATTCACTCCTATCAAACACGCTCAAGCATGCCTGCTGGAAGTCCAAGCCCCTCGCACACAAAACCTCCTTTACCCCCTCCCTCCAACCCTTCCTAGGCCGACCCCTACCCCGCCTTCCTTCCACTACAGACTGATACACTCTTGAAGTCATTCTGTTTCGCTCCATTCTCTCTACATGTCCGAACCACCTCAACAACCCTTCCTCAGCCCTCTGGACAACAGTTTTGGTAATCCCGCACCTCCTCCTAACTTCCAAACTACGAATTCTCTGCATTATATTCACACCACACATTGCCCTCAGACATGACATCTCCACTGCCTCCAGCCTTCTCCTCGCTGCAACATTCATCACCCACGCTTCACACCCATATAAGAGCGTTGGTAAAACTATACTCTCATACATTCCCCTCTTTGCCTCCAAGGACAAAGTTCTTTGTCTCCACAGACTCCTAAGTGCACCACTCACTCTTTTTCCCTCATCAATTCTATGATTCACCTCATCTTTCATAGACCCATCCGCTGACACGTCCACTCCCAAATATCTGAATACGTTCACCTCCTCCATACTCTCTCCCTCCAATCTGATATTCAATCTTTCATCACCTAATCTTTTTGTTATCCTCATAACCTTACTCTTTCCTGTATTCACCTTTAATTTTCTTCTTTTGCACACCCTACCAAATTCATCCACCAATCTCTGCAACTTCTCTTCAGAATCTCCCAAGAGCACAGTGTCATCAGCAAAGAGCAGCTGTGACAACTCCCACTTTGTGTGTGATTCTTTATCTTTTAACTCCACGCCTCTTGCCAAGACCCTCGCATTTACTTCTCTTACAACCCCATCTATAAATATATTAAACAACCACGGTGACATCACACATCCTTGTCTAAGGCCTACTTTTACTGGGAAAAAATTTCCCTCTTTCCTACATACTCTAACTTGAGCCTCACTATCCTCGTAAAAACTCTTCACTGCTTTCAGTAACCTACCTCCTACACCATACACTTGCAACATCTGCCACATTGCCCCCCTATCCACCCTGTCATACGCCTTTTCCAAATCCATAAATGCCACAAAGACCTCTTTAGCCTTATCTAAATACTGTTCACTTATATGTTTCACTGTAAACACCTGGTCCACACACCCCCTACCTTTCCTAAAGCCTCCTTGTTCATCTGCTATCCTATTCTCCGTCTTACTCTTAATTCTTTCAATTATAACTCTACCATACACTTTACCAGGTACACTCAACAGACTTATCCCCCTATAATTTTTGCACTCTCTTTTATCCCCTTTGCCTTTATACAAAGGAACTATGCATGCTCTCTGCCAATCCCTAGGTACCTTACCCTCTTCCATACATTTATTAAACAATTGCACCAACCACTCCAAAACTATATCCCCACCTGCTTTTAACATTTCTATCTTTATCCCATCAATCCCGGCTGCCTTACCCCCTTTCATTTTACCTACTGCCTCACGAACTTCCCCCACACTCACAACTGGCTCTTCCTCACTCCTACAAGATGTTATTCCTCCTTGCCCTATACACGAAATCACAGCTTCCCTATCTTCATCAACATTTAACAATTCCTCAAAATATTCCCTCCATCTTCCCAATACCTCTAACTCTCCATTTAATAACTCTCCTCTCCTATTTTTAACTGACAAATCCATTTGTTCTCTAGGCTTTCTTAACTTGTTAATCTCACTCCAAAACTTTTTCTTATTTTCAACAAAATTTGTTGATAACATCTCACCCACTCTCTCATTTGCTCTCTTTTTACATTGCTTCACCACTCTCTTAACCTCTCTCTTTTTCTCCATATACTCTTCCCTCCTTGCATCACTTCTACTTTGTAAAAACTTCTCATATGCTAACTTTTTCTCCCTTACTACTCTCTTTACATCATCATTCCACCAATCGCTCTTCTTCCCTCCCGCACCCACTTTCCTGTAACCACAAACTTCTGCTGAACACTCTAACACTACATTTTTAAACCTACCCCATACCTCTTCGACCCCATTGCCTATGCTCTCATTAGCCCATCTATCCTCCAATAGCTGTTTATATCTTACCCTAACTGCCTCCTCTTTTAGTTTATAAACCTTCACCTCTCTCTTCCCTGATGCTTCTATTCTCCTTGTATCCCATCTACCTTTTACTCTCAGTGTAGCTACAACTAGAAAGTGATCTGATATATCTGTGGCCCCTCTATAAACATGTACATCCTGAAGTCTACTCAACAGTCTTTTATCTACCAATACATAATCCAACAAACTACTGTCATTTCGCCCTACATCATATCGTGTATACTTATTTATCCTCTTTTTCTTAAAATATGTATTACCTATAACTAAACCCCTTTCTATACAAAGTTCAATCAAAGGGCTCCCATTATCATTTACACCTGGCACCCCAAACTTACCTACCACACCCTCTCTAAAAGTTTCTCCTACTTTAGCATTCAAGTCCCCTACCACAATTACTCTCTCACTTGGTTCAAAGGCTCCTATACATTCACTTAACATCTCCCAAAATCTCTCTCTCTCCTCTGCATTCCTCTCTTCTCCAGGTGCATACACGCTTATTATGACCCACTTCTCGCATCCAACCTTTACTTTAATCCACATAATTCTTGAATTTACACATTCATATTCTCTTTTCTCCTTCCATAACTGATCATTTAACATTACTGCTACCCCTTCCTTTGCTCTAACTCTCTCAGATACTCCAGATTTAATCCCATTTATTTCCCCCCACTGAAACTCTCCTACCCCCTTCAGCTTTGTTTCGCTTAGGGCCAGGACATCCAACTTCTTTTCATTCATAACATCAGCAATCATCTGTTTCTTGTCATCCGCACTACATCCACGCACATTTAAGCAACCCAGTTTTATAAAGTTTTTCTTCTTCTCTTTTTTAGTAATTGTATACAGGAGAAGGGGTTACTAGCCCATTGCTATATATATATGCAGCTATATATATATATTAACCTTTTCAGTAGCTGTCAAGCAGAACTATGTCACTGAGGCCTGGGTCACTCACATAGTTCTGTGTCATGAACTCGGCTCACTCAGATAAGCCACGAGCAGTAAATTTTGGCCTAGATCTGAGAGAATGGGTGTGTGGGGCAAGTGTGCACATTATAAAACAAATCCTGCCCCCCTTTCCCATACACTAAGGGTACATGATTACTCTCCCTTCATTAGTATTGCAATTCCAAAGCAAGACAGCAACAGAGAGAGCAAGAGAATCTACAGAGATTAGAGGATGGAAGAGATACAGAATTCAACTGGTTCATACAGCATATAGTGTACAATAAGATTTCAAGTCAAAATACTTACCAGCAGTATCAAAAAGGCCTAATGTATATGGTTCACCTCCAATCATTACTGTAACTGCATAGTTATCAAATACCTAGAATGAAGATATATTCTAGGTTCAGTAAAACAGTATGTGAAGATATCAATATAGACACTCTTAAGTCTGGGGCATTTTTAACAGTATAGTATATGTCACCTTCATATAAAGTGAAGAGCAAAGCATTAAATCAACATTGCTCTATTAGGTATCAATACCTTTCAGCATTATTATCCATTTTAATTTATCATAAGATACAGCCAATACAAAAAACTAAAGGAACCTTACATACCGTGGGGACATACTCAGAAGGAAATTTATTTGTCGTGTAGGAGATGAGCAGACAGGTTTTACCCACTGCTCCATCTCCCACCACCACACACTTTATCGTCTGCATCTCTCACGTTCCCCAGCAGGCTGATGAAAATGTAATATGTTAGATTGCATCATGATAGCATGGGTCGAAATCTGAGAATTGTAGTCCCCCCCCACAAAAAGAAAAAAAAAAAATTGCAGTAGGTTCTTGGGAACTGCAACTAAGCGAAACGACATATAACAAAACCAATCTTACCACAGGCTAACTGATAACATCAAGGGTGCAAAATGCACCTTTAGCACTCATTGCAACAAGGTTGAATAAAGGTTTGCAAAGTGAAAATTATAAGGAGCACCTCCTACCACCATGCAGTTCAAATACAAACAAACAATTATGGCGGGCTCTCTGAGTGCTTTCAGACCTCATCATTTGTTGTGTATTTGTATGATTATTGTATACTTTATGAATTTTTAACACTTTCAACCTGCTTATTACAGTTCAGGGTCACGGGTGGCCAGAGCCTATCCCAGCAGCTCAGGGTGCCAGGTGAAAACCAACCCTGGAAGGATGCCATTCCATCGCAAGGCACACTCCCAAACACACACCCATACTCACTCATACCGGAACAATCTAGACACCAACTAACTTAACATGCAGATCTTTGGTATGTGGGAAGAAACTGAAGTATTCTGAGAAAACCCACGCAGACATGGAGAGAACTTTCAAACTCCATGCAAACAGTGGCCCAGGCCTGGAATCGATTTTTCTTCACATCAACATTTTAATGAAACAACATTAAGTAAGAACTTACTGTACATATAGAAAAGATACAAGCTACAACTGAGTAGTTAAGGGAGTTACCTCCTCAGTAGCAGTCTCCTGTCAAGGAAGAGTGACCAAAAGAAACTCATTCATCACCATTCATTAACTGTGGTCTTTCCATAAGTGTACTGACATTACAATTCAGATTACCCTCCAAGTCCAACATCACCACTTCTTTCGTATAAGCACTGCCCTTCCCACCTCCAGGACTCCAGTTTGGCTAATCAGTTTCACTAAATACCTTTGTAAAGGCTGCCAACAGTATGTCCATTAAAAAACTTTCCCATTCACTTCTACTTAACATGCTCTCACAAGTATGCTGGATACTCAAGCATCTTTTACTGCATCACTAACCATTCTTGGGGCAACCTCTTTCCCTCCTACCTTCCACCCCATGGCTCGGTTGGCAACACACTCCACTCACAAACACTGTCTGTGGTTTGATCTCCAACACAGATGGAGACACTGGGCATGTTTCCTTACACCTACTGTTCCTGTTCACCTAGCAGTAAGCTGGTAAATGTGTTAATTGACTGTTGTGAGTAGTATCCTGGGGGACAATATTGAAGGACCCCAATGGAAATAAGACAGTCCCCAATGATGCACCGGCTTTACTGGGCTCTGGTGGCCTGGTGGTTAACGCTCTCGCTTCACACGGCGAGGGCCTGGGTTCGATTCCCAGCCAGAGTAGAAACATTGGGCGTGTTTCTTTCCACCTGTTGTCTATGTTCCCCATCAGTAAAATGGGTACCTGGGTGTTAGTCGATTGGTGTGGGTCGCATCCTGGGACACTGACCTAATTTGCCCGAGATGCTCAGCATAACAAGTGGCTTTCTATGTAGTAGTATGTCATTGTTGTCAGCTAGGACTGTATACCATGTACATGCACTTGTAGTAAATAAAGATTATTATTATTATTATTATTATTATTATTATTATTATCCTAGATAGCTAACCCTCCAGGTTAGAAATCCAAACAAATCGTATACATCCCTTTCATTAGCCTATCCTTCTCCTTCCACTCTACATGCCCAACCCACTTCAACAACTCCTCCTCAGCCATTTGACTTGTACCCTTAATGACTCACTGCCTTTTAATTTCTACACTACAAATTCTCTGCATGATATTCACACTACATGACATCACCACTGCCTCTAGCCACTTCCTAGCTGTAACATTCAAAACCCATGCCTCAAACCACATAAAAGTGTGGTACCAATAAACTTACCCCTCCTTTCATATATACATCAGTATGCTTTAGCATAAGCAAATGCAAGGTTTTGGAGACTGGAGAAGGGGTCAAAATACTGGACAGAGTATAGACTTGGGGGACAGATTCTGCAGACCTCATTCAAAGAGGACCTACGAGTAAGCATCGTGCCTACCATATCACCAGAGGCTCAACAGGATAACCTTTGTAGCCAATGCTTGCCTGACAAATCAGCATCCTTCAGAAATCTGTCATTTAGGGTGCTTTATGCAACATATGTCAGGCTCATCTTGGAGTATGCAGCACCATGTTAAGAAACTGAATTAAGTGCAGAAGTATGCAACGAGACTAGTTGCAGAGCTAAGGGGTATGAGCTATATGGAAAGGCTAAAGGAATTTAATCTAAAGACCCAGGAGTGCAGAAGGTCCATGGGAGATATACAAAATACTCAAGAGGAACTGATAGGGCAGACAGAAAGGCTGTTAGAGAGGGGGAAACAGGTACTCAGGGGGCACAGCTGGAAGCTAAAAACAGAAGTCACAGGGATGTTAGGATGTCAGTCTCAAGGTGGTTGGGAAGTAGAATAACTTCAATGAAGTGGTAGAGGCAGACTCAATACAGTTTTAAGAATAGGTACAACTGGGCCCACAAGGCTAGTGAGAGTGTTTGTAGCAAGCAAGCTGAAAGGCAAGACCAGCAGCTAAGATTAGACACCTGAAACCCCATATAGGAGAGTAGAATTAGGCAAGTACAGCACAGTAGTCCCCGACTTGCAATATTCCACTTTTATGACACAGGCACTACAGAAACAAACTGACTAAATCACCAACTCACTCTTCCAATACACAGGACTATTTGTGGCCATGGAAGGCGGGGAAGCAGCAGACAATGTTGCTGCAGTCAGGATATTCCCATGAACAATTTACAGATTTTCCTACTCTTACAGCCAAGTCTAGGAAAAAGCTTTTCTGATTAACTGTTCAACCAGGCTGGTGCTGTTGGAAGCCCACTGGCCCAAATCTTCCAGAAGTTCATTTAAATTGATTAAGGTCACAGCACAAACATTTCCAATGAACACATTCTAGGGACTATCATCTCTCTCTCTCTCTCTCTCTCTCTCCAAAAAGTTCTTAATACATAGTGCAGTAGGTCTACTGGCCTATGTTAGGCAGGTCTCATTATCACCACATAATAATAATAATTTTTATTTTTATATGTACAAGGTATACAGGCCTAGCTGACATCAATGACATACTTCAATACAGAAAACCCCCTGGTTATGCACAGCATTTCAGGCAAAGTAGGCCAATTTTGTCCCAGTATGCAACCCACACTAGTCAACTAACACCCAGGTACCTATTTAACTGATAGGGAAACATGGAAAACAGGTGCCTTAAGGAATCATGTCCTAATGTTTTCCAGCCATACTTGGAATTGACCCTGGGACCTCAGTGTGTGAGCTGTGTGTGCAGCACTCAGCTCACTGCCTTTCAACGCATTTTCATAATTTTAATTTTTAGATACAACCCACACAGGAGAAAACCTTGTGATGAAATTTCATTCCATCCTGTACCATTAGCTAATCACACACTAACACACGAAGGTAAGGGAGCCAGTGTGACTAATTATAATTATAATCACGGGGGAGCATTAAACCCATAGGATTATACAGTGCCTCTGGGGAGGGGGAGAGAAGGTATTCAGACTCAATTCAGGGAACTGACGCACAGATCCATTTCCCTAGATCAAGAGCCCCTCACCAGCATCAAGGAACCTTCCTTGAGGAGTATGTGACTAGTTAATGGTCCTAGTAGGACCGAAATGTCACAAGTCTCTTTCTCCTGTGCGGGTTATTTGTGTATTGTTCTGGTCACAGCATTGTATCTTTTTATTCTTTAATTTTTATATTATAGTCTGCAGGAAATATTACCCAGAATAAAGGATATTAAGTAATACACAGGAAGTTCCATGAATCACATACCCTGCCCCCATTTCCTCTATCATTTCTATGATAATTTCTTCAAAACCGAAGGAACAATAATTTAGAGAGATAATGCCACTTAGATGATAACTGCAATAGTACAAGGATAGTTGCTGGCTAATGGAGGTTTCAAGACTATCGACTACACTAGGGTTATTAAGGATACACCTAACCTCTTCACCACCAAATAAGAATACATGTAATTCCTAAAACAGAGATTAAATGAAGCTCAGGATATATATACTGGGAGAGAAATAGACTTGTGGGTGTTAATCCCTTCACCCGTGACTACCAGAGGTCTGAAGGGCAGGAATAGTAAGCTACTACCTTTCTTCCTGCCTTCCCTTAACTTCATTATAGTATAATAACCAACTTACCATGCAACACAAGACACAGGTGCACATGCAACACAAACAACATCGACATAAACTCGCACCTTGACATTTAATTTCCTAACGTCAAGTTGGAAATAGTTTTTTCAGCCATCTTAGTGAGCCCCGCCTTCACATTATCAGCTCCCCCAGGGCCGCATTACCTGCCATCTCCACCAACACTACGCTCCATACACTCCTAACACTCACACATGGTTAATATCCCCGCTGATACACACAAACCAGAGAGAAAAACGGGTAAATAAGGATAATTTAGTCTCACCAGCTGGGCGTAGTTCATCAGCCACACTACTGCCCTCTACCGGCCACTAACACAACCAACACACACATCCACGCTCACACTTCCCTACATAATATTATTTTAACCATATCCCCTCATTTCTATACCATCTTAACCTATATATATCTAAAATACATAAACCATTTAAGTAACACTTCAAATCTCCTTTATTTCCGAAATATTCTGCATTATAATTGTGTCTTCCAAGACAAGAATGGCACCCAACATTTCTCAGGAATTACACACACACTCATCTTTCTCACAAATATATTCTACCTACAATAATTTTGTACAATTTCAAATAAAAAGCACATTCCAAATTCAACAACACGCACTATAAATTCATTTTCATGTGCTATTCATTTTTTATGTATCTTTTCAACGACATTATTATAAAAATCGCACTAAATAGATAAGCTTTAAAAAAATACCCTCAAGGAAGGTTCCTTGATGTTGGTGAGGGGCTCTTGATTTAGAGAATTGGATCTGTGCTCCAGTTCCCCGAATTAAGCCTGAATGCCTTCCACATCCCCCCCCCAGGCGCTGTATAATCCTCCGGGTTTAGCGCTTCCCCCTTGATTATAATAATAATAATTTAAAAAAATACAAGAATAACTCATATTATATTTCACCACTAATATTCTCTCGTATAAGCTGCTGGTATAAGATTAATATACAAATATATGGCTGCTGGTCCATTGATTGATACTTATGTACTTTATATTACAGATTCCAATTGTTAAATTATGACTAACGCACAGCCGCTTAACTTACGGAAATACCTGTTGTGATAATATTATGTGGTAGTGTGGTACTATCTGTGGTGGTGTGGTACTATCTGTGGTAGTGTGGCACTATCTGTGGTAGTGTGGCACTATCTGTGGTAGTGTGGTACTATCTGTGGTAGTGTGGCACTATCTGTGGTAGTGTGGTACTATCTGTGGTAGTGTGGCACTATCTGTGGTAGTGTGGTACTATCTGTGGTAGTGTGGCACTATCTGTGGTAGTGTGGTACTATCTGTGGTAGTGTTTACCTGGAGTTTACCTGGAGAGAGTTCCGGGGGTCAACGCCCCCGCGGCCCGGTCTGAGACCAGGCCTCCTGGTGGATCACAGCCTGATCAACCAGGCTGTTGCTGCTGGCTGCACGCAAACCAACATACGAGCTACAGCCCGGCTGATCCGGAACTGACTTTAGGTGCTTGTCCAGTGCCAGCTTGAAGACTGCCAGGGGTCTGTTGGTAATCCCCCTTATGTGTGCTGGGAGGCAGTTGAACAGTCTCGGGCCCCTGACACTTATTGTATGGTCTCTTAACGTGCTAGTGACACCCCTGCTTTTCATTGGGGGGATGGTGCATCGTCTGCCAAGTCTTTTGCTTTCGTAATGAGTGATTTTCGTGTGCAAGTTCGGTACTAGTCCCTCTAGGATTTTCCAGGTGTATATAATCATGTATCTCCCCCTCCTGCGTTCCAGGGAATACAGGTTTAGGAACCTCAAGCGCTCCCAATAATTGAGGTGTTTTATCTCCGTTATGCGTGCCGTGAAAGTTCTCTGTACATTTTCTAGGTCGGCAATTTCACCTGCCTTGAAAGGTGCTGTTAGTGTGCAGCAATATTCCAGCCTAGATAGAACAAGTGACCTGAAGAGTGTCATCATGGGCTTGGCCTCCCTAGTTTTGAAGGTTCTCATTATCCATCCTGTCATTTTTCTAGCAGATGCGATTGATACAATGTTATGGTCCTTGAAGGTGAGATCCTCCGACATGATCACTCCCAGGTCTTTGACGTTGGTGTTTCGCTCTATTTTGTGGCCAGAATTTGTTTTGTACTCTGATGACGATTTAATTTCCTCATGTTTACCATATCTGAGTAATTGAAATTTCTCATCGTTGAACTTCATATTGTTTTCTGCAGCCCACTGAAAGATTTGGTTGATGTCTGCCTGGAGCTTTGCAGTGTCTGCAATGGAAGACACTGTCATGCAGATTCGGGTGTCATCTGCAAAGGAAGACACGGTGCTGTGGCTGACATCCTTGTCTATGTCGGATATAAGGATGAGGAACAAGATGGGAGCGAGTACTGTGCCTTGTGGAACAGAGCTTTTCACCGTAGCTGCCTCGGACTTTACTCTGTTGACGACTACTCTCTGTGTTTCTGTTAGTGAGGAAATTATAGATCCATCGACCGACTTTTCCTGTTATTCCTTTAGCACGCATTTTGTGCGCTATTACGCCATGGTCACACTTGTCGAAGGCTTTTGCAAAGTCTGTATATATTACATCTGCATTCTTTTTGTCTTCTAGTGCATTTAGGACCTTGTCGTAGTGGTCCAATAGTTGAGACAGACAGGAGCGACCTGTTCTAAACCCATGTTGCCCTGGTTGTGTAACTGATGGGTTTCTAGATGCGTGGTGATCTTGCTTCTTAGGACCCTTTCAAAGATTTTTATGATATGGGATGTTAGTGCTATTGGTCTGTAGTTCTTTGCTGTTGCTTTACTGCCCCCTTTGTGGAGTGGGGCTATGTCTGTTGTTTTTAGTAACTGTGGGACGCCCCCCGTGTCCATGCTCCCTCTCCATAGGATGGAAAAGGCTCGTGATAGGGGCTTCTTGCAGTTCTTGATGAACACAGAGTTCCATGAGTCTGGCCCTGGGGCAGAGTGCATGGGCATGTCATTTATCGCCTGTTCGAAGTCATTTGGCGTCAGGATAACATCGGATAGGCTTGTGTTAATCAAATTTTGTGGCTCTCTCATAAAAAATTCATTTTGATCTTCGACTCTCAGTCTGGTTAGCGGCTTGCTAAAAACTGAGTCATATTGGGACTTGAGTAGCTCACTCATTTCCTTGCTGTCATCTGTGTAGGACCCATCTTGTTTAAGTAGGGGCCCAATACTGGACGTTGTTCTCGATTTTGATTTGGCATAGGAGAAGAAATACTTTGGGTTTCTTTCGATTTCATTTATGGCTTTTAGTTCTTCCCGCGATTCCTGACTCCTAAAGGATTCTTTTAGCTTAAGTTCGATGCTTGCTATTTCTCTGACCAGTGTCTCCCTGCGCATTTCAGATATATTGACCTCTTTTAGCCGCTCTGTTATTCTTTTCCGTCGCCTGTAAAGGGAGCGCCTGTCTCTTTCTATTTTACATCTACTCCTCCTTTTTCTTAGAGGAATAAGCCTTGTGCATACATCGAGTGCCACCGAGTTAATCTGTTCTAGGCATAAGTTTGGGTCTGTGTTGCTTAGTATATCTTCCCAGCTTATATCGGTTAGGACTTGGTTTACTTGGTCCCACTTTATGTTTTTGTTATTGAAGTTGAATTTGGTGAATGCTCCCTCGTGACTAGTCTCATTTTGTCGGTCTGGGGCTCCACGCATACATGTCTGAACCTCAATTATGTTGTGATCTGAGTATATTGTTTTTGATATGGTGACATTTCTTATCAGATCATCATTGTTAGTGAATATGAGGTCTAGTGTATTCTCCAGTCTAGTAGGCTCTATTATTTGCTGGTTTAAATTGAATTTTGTGCAGAGATTTAAAAGCTCGTGTGAGTGTGAGTTTTCATCAGAGCTGCCTCCTGGTGTTATTTCTGCAACAATATTATTTGCTATATTCCTCCATTTTAGGTGCCTTAAGTTGAAATCCCCCAGGAGCAAGATGTTGGGTGCAGGAGCTGGAAGATTTTCCAGACAGTGGTCAATTTTTAACAGCTGTTCCTGGAATTGCTGGGAAGTTGCATCCGGAGGCTTGTAGACTACCACAATGACTAGGTTTTGGTTCTCGACCTTTACTGCTAAAACTTCCACTACGTCATTTGAGGCATTAAGCAGTTCTGTGCAAACAAGTGACTCTGCAATGTACAGGCCAACCCCCCCTTTTGCCTGTTCACTCTGTCACATCTGTATAGGTTGTAACCTGGGATCCATATTTCGTTGTCCAAGTGATCCTTTATGTGGGTCTCAGTGAAAGCCGCGAACATTGCCTTTGCCTCTGCAAGCAGTCCACGGATGAAAGGTATTTTGTTGTTTGTTGCTGGCTTTAGACCCTGTATATTTGCAAAGAAGAATGTTATCGGACTGGTGGTATTGTTGGTACTGGGGGGGATTTTTTTTCCGGCATTAGTATCTGTATCTGTTGGTTTGGAGTGGAGGCCATCGACTGTGGTTCCACTCCTGTGGTAGTGTGGCTCTATCTGTGGTAGTGTGGTACTATCTGTGGTAGTGTGGCACTATCTGTGGTAGTGTGGTACTATCTGTGGTAGTGTGGCACTATCTGTGGTAGTGTGGTACTATCTGTGGTAGTGTGGCACTATCTGTGGTAGTGTGGTACTATCTGTGGTAGTGTGGCACTATCTGTGGTAGTGTGGCACTATCTGTGGTAGTGTGGTACTATCTGTGGTAGTGTGGCACTATCTGTGGTAGTGTGGCTCTATCTGTGGTAGTGTGGTACTATCTGTGGTAGTGTGGTACTATCTGTGGTAGTGTGGTTCTATCTGTGGTAGTGTGGTACTATCTGTGGTAGTGTGGCACTATCTGTGGTAGTGTGGCACTATCTGTGGTAGGGTGGCACTATCTGTGGTAGTGTGGCACTATATGTGGTAGTGTGGCACTATCTGTGGTAGTGTGGCACTATCTGTGGTAGTGTGGCACTATCTGTGGTAGTGTGGCACTATCTGTGGTAGTGTGGCACAATCTGCTGTAGTGCGGCATTATCTGTGGTAGTGTTTACCTGGAGTTTACCTGGAGAGAGTTCCGGGGGTCAACGCCCCCGCGGCCCAGTCTGTGACCAGGCCTCCTGGTGGATCAGAGCCTGATCAACCAGGCTGTTGCTGCTGGCTGCACGCAAACCAACGTACGAGCCACAGCCCGGCTGATCCGGAACTGACTTTAGGTGCTTGTCCAGTGCCAGCTTGAAGACTGCCAGGGGTCTGTTGGTAATCCCCCTTATGTGTGCTGGGAGGCAGTTGAACAGTTTCGGGCCCCTGACACTTATTGTATGGTCTCTTAACGTGCTAGTGACACCCCTGCTTTTCATTGGGGGGATGGTGCATCGTCTGCCAA